CTGGAAGTAGTGTAGTATCATCTGGAAGTAGTGTAGTATCATCTGGAAGTAGTGTAGTATCATCTAGAAGTAGTGTAGTATCATCTGGAAGGAATATAGTGCATCATCCGGAAGGATTGTTGTATTCTCTGGAATATATGTTGCATTATTTGGAAAGTGTTACATAACTGGAAACAGTTTTGCATCAACTGAAAGGTGTGTTGAATTATATGAAAAATATTAAATCTCGAAGCAGTGATGTTTTATTTAGAAGGTGTTGCATCATCAGAAAAGAGTGTTGCTTTATTTGGGAGAAGTGTGTTATCATAGTGTTGAATCATCTGGAAGATATTTATTATATCTGTATCATAGAAAACAAGTGTTGCAGCAACTTTATTATGCAATTAGTTGCATAATCATGAAGAAATGTTGAATTTCTAGTTTTTTTTCTAAGCGTATCTGACTGGAGCTTAGGGGACGCAGGATCGAACTTTTACCACTCCTTGCAATGGATGGCCCACACGGGTTTCAATATGATAAAAGCAATGATTTTTTTTCCTTACTGTACTTTCTGATGAGTTTTGGTAATCTACTGCAGGCACTTTGGTTGGAAAATGGTTATATAGATTAATTCTGACAGACGAGGTTGTCATGGGACATTCGTTAGTACCAAGGGACACAAACATGGGTATTGCGGGACAGAGTCAGGAATCGTCAGACAAATTACGAAAATCGTGTCTGTTGTCATGGGACACATGTCTCGTAGGGTACACGAATTTCGTGGCAGTGACGACCGACTCATGGGTACTGTGAGACACTTATGAGAATCGTGAGATATTTGAAGGCAACGTTGGGAGAGGCCTGTGGGTAACGTGGGAATTTCTATGAGTCTGGTGGAATTTCCTTAGCTACGAGCTGGTTAGAGAAATTGTCTCCAAGAGTAAACAGATAAAATGTATACACACAATGCGGGTTATGGCATTTCATTGGGAAGAAGTTTCGTCCACCAGGACCGTCATCAATACACGAATTGGTAAATTTCTCCATATCGAACGAAACTTCTTTATAATAAATTGCCGTAACTCGCACTGTCTCGCATATTTATATCTCCAAATCTAAGCGAGAATTTCTCGAAATGTCTGGTAGTAATTAATTTCTTGGAGACATAACTAGCGAACGAGAACCTCTATATCTTACAATATCTGAAGACCATCGCGCCAGTGTCATTGATATTTGTTGCAAGTGTAATAATGAATGTGGTGATATGAGGTGTTTTTGAATGGTATGAGGTGTTTAAGTAGGATAAGAAGTGTTATAGAATGTTATGAAGTACATAGTGTTTAGCAAAATATGATGCACTTTTAGTGGAGCGCTTTTTTCTTGTTAGTAGGACTTTTTTTTTTTTTTTTTTAGAGAGGCGTTTTATCTTGTTGGATGGGCGTTTTTCATATTTTTTAGGGGACTTTTGTCTTGCTATTGGAGCGTTGTATCTTGTTAGCAACGCCTTTTTCTTGTTATAGGTGTGTTGCTTCTGGTGTTGAAGGAGTTCTTTTTTTATCCTTCTGAAGTTGAAGAGCTTTTTTTTTTTTTAAATGTAGATATGCTTCTGCAGATGTTGAGCAGATAGTTTTCTGGATGAAGGAATCTGACTTCTATTGTTGGAGTGTTGCTTGTGGTGTTGAACTTGCACTTCTTTGCGGGAGAGCTTACGTTTTATCGAAAATTTTCCGTTGTTGGAAAGGATTTTTTTCCGAAGTTAGAGAGGTGCTGCTTCTGTTTATGGAGAGGTCTTTCTTCTGTTGTTGGAGAGATTCATCTGTTGTTGAAGAATTGCTTCTTCTGTTATTGAAAAGGAGCTTATTCTGCCGCTGAAAATGTTGTTCTCCTGTTGCTGGAGAGGCGATGCTTCTTTTGTTAGAGAAGTGCTTCTTCTGTTGTTGGAGAAGGGATTCTTTTTTGTTTTTTGTGTTTTTTTTTTTTTTTGACAGAGATGTGCTAGTGTTTCTTCTGTTTATAGAGTGGTGATTTTTCTGTTAAAATACGAGGTGCTTCTTGTGTTCATCGAGAGGTGGTTTTTTTTGTTGTTGGAGAGATGGTGCTTCGTCTGTTTTTCATAGATGAACTTTTGTTGTTGAAGCTTCTGTTGCTGGAGAGATGCACCTTCAGCTGCTGGTGAGGTGCTCCTTCAGTTGTTAGAGAAGTTCTTCGTCTATCGTTGATCCACTTCTGGAGTTGGCGGTTGGGTATATCTCCCCCTTTTAGAAAAGCTCCTGTTTCTGGATGGGTGCCACTTCCAATATTAAAAACAGTTTTTGTTGTTGTTGTGTTTGTCTGCTGGGTTTGAATAACGATCCTTTTGTTGATGGAGGGATATTTATTCTACTGGTAAAAGGAAATTTTATATGTTGCTGATTTATTTTTTTTAAGGTGTATCTCGTACTGTTGTAAGAATTTTTCTTCTGTTGGGAGATTATTCAGCTGGAGTTTGGTTGTTTTTGTTAAACAAGATTTTCTTAAATTGTTAGTTTTCTTGAAGAGATGTTTCTTTTGCTTGAAAATCTCCTCATCTGGTGTCAAAGGTGTGCTTTTTGTACTGTTGGAGGGGCAATAACTCTGGTGAATTCTGCCTTTTAGTTGAAAATTTCTTAAGCTTAGAGTAATGCTTGTTACTGGAAGTGTGTTTCTAATGGGAGTGGTTATTTCGCTGGTTATAAAAACAGTCCTTTCATTGAAAAAAGTTTACTTATGATTTTGATGGAGTTCTCTGGACATTGGAGGTCTACTTCTGCTCTCGGAGTGCTTTTTTTTTCTGTTGATAACCAAGAAAAGTTGTCTCTGTTAGAGGTGTGCCCTTTTTATTACTGGTGTGACTCTTTTCTTGTTGTTTAGGTCATTTAAATTAAATATAATAAACTGAATTATTTTTCTGTGGTAAGTATAATTCCATTTTTAAACAGAATTTCTCTTTCGGTGTGTTGAAGTGTTTTCTTCGCTTTTGTTCCTAGAATTTTCATATATTTTTAGGAGATGCAGTTTTTGTATTAATGTTTTTCCTCTGGTTGCTCTTTTGTTTTTTCTGTTCTTTTTTTTTTTTTGCTGGAGATCTTTCCTGTTACTCTCATACATTTATTTTTCTAAGAATTGAAATCTGAACTTAGTTTTGTTTAAACATGTAAAGTTTCTGTGAAATACAATCCCACGGTGAGAGATTTTACTAAGACATAACCGCCATAGAGAGGAGATATCAGGGGAAACCTGACGATCAGTTTGATGGTTTACTGCTGCTGGACACTGCTGCTGTAGAACCATAATGAACACGACCGAAAAAGTTTGAAAACTGCGTTTAATGTATATATATATATATATATATATATATATATATATATATATATATATATATAGATATTATATATATATTATATGTTGTGTGTGTGGTATATATGTATGAATGTATATGCAAAATAATGATAATGTGAGTAGTCACGAAAGTGCTTGGAATTTCTCTATTCTTTCACAGTGGTTTTTTGCATATTCTGAAATCACTTGTTTACTGTGATCTTATTGCGCTTATATATATATATATATTTATATATATATTATATATATATATATATATATATATATATATATATATATATATATATATATATATATATATATATATATATAATACAATATGTGTGCGTGTGTACTTCTTACTAGTTTGGAGTTCCGCTTTTTGTGTTCTTGGAATCTTGCTTTCTCCGTTTCTGGAATTTTACTTCTTATATTTTTAGGATGCTACTTCTGATGTTTTTGGAATGTTGCTTCTATGATCTTGGAATGTTGCTTCTAATGTTTATGAAATGCTGCTGCTTATATTCTTGGAATGTTTCTTTTTATAATTTGGAATGCTGATGTTAATACTTCTTAAATGTTGGTTCTTATGTGCTTACAATGTTGCTTCATATGTTTTGGGAATGTTGTTACTTATGTGACTAGAATGTCGCTTCTTATGTCTTTGGAGTGTTGCTTATGTCCCTAGAATGTTGCTTACGTTTTTAGTGTTGCTTGTGTGCCTAGAATGTTGCTTCTTATGTCTTTGGAGTGTTACTTATGTCCCTAGAATGTTGCTTATGTTTTTAGTGTTGTGTGGCTAAAATGTTGCTTATGTCTTTGGAGTTTTGCTTGGGTGCCTAGAATGTTGCTTCTTATGTCTATGGAGTTTTGCTTGGGTGCTTAGAATGTTGCTTCGTATGTCTTTGGAATGTTGCTTCTTTAGTTCCTGACATTAATTAAACATTTTGTTAGTACTACTCATTTTTCTGTTGGAGGTTTTACTGTAGTTACTGTGTTCTTCTCAAACTCTTTTATCTTTATGTAGAATTTATTCCCGTTGTTATGATATCCACTCCTGTTGGTTTAAATAACTATTTCCCAAGTGCTGTTGATTTTACAAATTAATTGCTTCCGGTTAATTAATTTAAGTTGGATTTAAGCAGTGATTTCATTCTTCTGCTAAGATTTTGTCAGTTATGTGGTCCTTCTGTTGCTCTTAAGTTTGGAAATAATATGCTCCTACTGTTGAATTTACGCAGTTATACCTCCCTGTTTTATTGACGTTTAAATATCTGGCTGTTCTTAAACATGTTTCAACTTGTGTTAAATTGAGAATATACTCCTGTTAATGATATTTACCCGCGGCCTTTACAGCAGTTATTCTGAAGTATGAGTAATACTGTACGAGTGACGGTGACGCCTGTTGCTGGAGATGACGCAACACTGCTGTGCATCCCACCGTCTCAGGCGCGAGTGACGACTATCGGGGAGATCCGCGAGTTGAGCTGTGACGACCTTCACGGGAAGAGAAGGGGAGGAAGAGCCTTGCGGCAGAAGCCACTGCATTTAGCGGCTCTTCATACCCCTTAACCACTCTTACATGCTGCTAAAGGAATCCTAGTGTTACTGAAACAACGTGGTAATGTGTGTGTGGTGTGTGTGTGTGTGTGTGTGTGTGTGTGTGTGTGTGTGTGTGTGTGTGTGTGTGTGCGTGCGTGTGTGTGTAAGGACCGGCTATCGTAGAGCGAGCCTCGTGGCAGAGGGGGATATTGTATTGTTGACGTAAGGGGCCTCGTGGTGGCGGAGGTATTGTGGTGCCGTAGCGGTGGTGGCGCGGGTGTCCAGGAAGTATCTGGCAAGGTCCACCGGAGCACCGCCCCTTGCCTGGCTGGCTGGCTGGCTGCCTGGCTGGCTGGCTGGCTTGCAGGGAGGCTGGCCATAGTGACGTCACGCTGCCCGCGCAGGAGGAGGCAGTGTGCGCGAGCTGGACACTCGCTGCCACCTCCACCACACCACCACCTCCACGCTCACAGCTCCCTGCCTCTCATTTTCATATTCGATTTGTGCCGCGTGTGTTTAAACTGCTCTCGCGCCCCCATCACTCAGATCGCGGCGGCCAGTCCTGCACGCAGCCTGCGCTCGCTCCCACGCGGTGACCCAACGCACCTCCTCCAACAATCCTCCAACGCGGCTCCCCGCCAATAGAATTCTTCGTCAGTACTCCAGCAGCGTCCTCCGACAGCGTCCTCTCCGCGGGGCTGGGACGAGGGCCCAGCACCACCACCACCTTCGCTGTTTTAGCGG